GCACGACATTACCTCTTCAACACCTCCAGCTCAAAGCTCAGAAAAACGACCCATACCTCTGCATCTCTGGGGAGAGCCATAAGCCAGCAACAGGAGCCATGAGCTCCTCCAGGAAAGCTTTCTGCCGCTCATAGTCCTTGAACTGGTTGCTGATGAGGACGAGGGCCTCCATAAGAGCACACTTCTCCATCTGCGTCAGAAGTAGCTCATTGGAGAGCAGCTGCTTCACGTGGTTGTACAACATCTCAAAGTTTGGCTAGAAAACACATCCAAGTGGAAGAGCATCATGCATTTGGTGTGCAGGAGGGCCACTGGGGGAGGCAGAGGCAGGGTGTGCTGTACTACGCAGAACAGCTGGAGTTACCTTTTATCTACATAACCATCTCCTTCTCAGTCTTAAGTTTCTCTGAATGTTCAGTCTAAAAGAACCTCTTTTCTTCCCTACCCTCTATCATCATCCTGCATCCAGTTTACTTTAGTTTCCAGAATGACTGAAATAAGCATAGGAAATCTTTCTTCTAGGTAGTCATATCCCTTACAGCAGTGTCACACCTCAAAATAGTTCTGGTGCTTTTATTTGCTCACAGAAAGTACCTCACTAGGATGGCTCTCAAGTGCCAGACTTAAGACTCTTCCATCTCTTTGCTCACAGCTAGGTTAATAACGATTCATACGGTTATCACTACCTCCACAGGAATGGTTGAGTTTCTTCCCTACTCACTCTATTTGCAACCATGCCTTCCTGTAACTTTGTATAAGCATTAGCAATCATCCCCTACAGCAAAGTCATCTGGAACATATTTTGGGGCAGCTCTGGGCCCTTGGCTCTTCCAGTGAGGCCGTTTGGCTGGCCATGGGAAAGAGAAAGCTGTAGTTCAAGGACCAGTAGAGTGGGACAAAGACAAACCTGCTAGTTCTTAGCAGCTATTGCAGAATGCAGACTGGAACCCCTAAATTACCTTAATCAGCATCCTCAAAAAATGTCTTTGTTTAAACTAGCAATGTCCTATGGTGCTCTCATAAACCTAGAGCCACTCCGCACAAACACCGCTAAAGAAAGGAGCTCAGAGCTATGCATGTTGCATGCAGGCTGTTTAGTTCAGCAAGACCAAACAAAACACCGGCTCATGGATTTTAAACATATCTGATTTTTCTAGTCTCCTCAAGCTAATCCAGAAAACAAATACTCTCCTCTTGCTCCTACATTCTGTTAACTAACGGAAGAAAGTCTGGAGATAGTCATTGCTAGCTAAGGAATCAATTGAGACTACCACAAGTGATAAAATGGAAATTCAGCAAACATTCCCATAAAATGGATCTAGTGCTGCTTGTATCCTCCTCCTCATCCCTCTTCCATTTAACTCATCGCCTTTTCATTTAACTCATCACTTTACAATTCAACTCTTCAGGCAGAAAATTTTTCAGAGGCGGAGGGGGGAAGAAGGGAGGTGCAGGGAATAAAACACTTTG